AGAGTTCCTCAGAATACCACTGGCCTGGGAAGGGCAGGGTGCAGAGTTTTCGCATGACATGTATTTGTGACATCTGCCACATGCTTTGCCTCTGATTTCTCATACCATCTTTTGAAGAATAATCTTCCTTTCCACCTTGATCACATGAAAACTGGGCTGGTATTACCCGAACTTACAGTAAGCAGCAAGATCAAGTTCTAATCTCAGACTCAACTATATTATATTCTATTATATTGTATCATATTATATTATATTGTATTATATTACATTATATTATTATATTATATTGTATTATATTATATAGTATAGTATAGTATAGTATAGTATATAGTATAGTATAGCAAGGATATATTCATGAACACTAACACTCTCTACCAAACACACACTTTTGTGTTCATTCATCACTGTATGTTGCCATCATTGATACTATCAAGCTTGCTTGTTATTTATTTCACAGTACTGGGGATCGAACATAAGGCCTTGTGAGGCTAGCCCCCTCCTCACTTTTTTTATTTCGTTCTGAGATGAGGTCTCACTGCGTTAATTGCCTAAGCTAGATTTGAACTCACTCTGTAGCCTAGGCAAGCCCTGAATCCCTGATCCTCCTATCTTAGTCTCCTGGAGTAGCTGGAGTTAAAGACCACCAAATTTGGTCCCAAGGGTTTTATTTGAAACCCAAACTTGGTAGCCATTTTAGCAAAAAGACAAAAAATAAACCCAACATTTAGCAGCTTAACAACTGGAGAGACAAATGGCATCATTTGGGTGCAACAAGAACAAGCAATGGCATGCATTCACCCCTTTCTGAAAGCAGCATCCCTACCGCTCTTTTTGGTACCTGTTACCCAATACCACTGACCCATCACATAGGCACTGAAAGGTTCAGCATGCCATTCAGCACTGGCAGCTCTTTATGGAGCAACACCTCAAGTGGTGCTCATATTTGTAAATGGCAGGGCTGACTTACTGAGGCTTTTCACGTGCCCTCTCCAGTCTGCAGTCTAGGTGGATTTCTCCAAACACCCTGTGAGATGTAAGCCAACTCCTTGTAAGAGAACACTGAGCAGAGAAGTGGTGTGAGTAGCTGAGGGCCACACAAATGGCAAGTGGTAAAGCTGGAAGGGAGCTTTGAGATCATGCCCATCACCAGGGGCTTTAAAAGCTCAACCTGGGTGCAGCACTTAGAGCCTCATACCTCTGTTTTCATATCCCTTTAGCTGGGAGCCAGATGGACTGATGGTCTCCATTGAGGACAGGTGACAGTAACAGCTTGGAAGCACAAAGGACTCCTCAAGATGGAAATCCCTACTTTCTTTCTTTTACCAAATTTTCTGCTCCTAGAGACTGAGCCATAAATGGTGCACGTCCTGGTGGCTAGTGGAGATTGTCACAGTAGATTGACTAAGTGGATTTATAAAATACCATTGGCTGGCAAGCTCCAGAAATAGATCCCAACACGCTTCAATTCACATGTTTATGCACAGCCTCAGGCCTCTGGTTCCACTGCCCTATTCCTCTCCTTTTACACGTCCTGCTGATGGTACGCCACTTCCGTTCACAGCATCCCCTTGGGTGCCAATTTCTGATCATGTAGAAATTCCTACCACGTCAGACTACTGCTCATTTGAAGGAAAAGATCTTAAATTCTGTAGTGTTCTCCCTTTTTTAACTGGGTCTTGTACTTACACAGAGCAAGCTGACACCTACAGCCAACATTCCAACAAGGGAGCACAGCCACCTGGAAGAAAAAGAGCTATTGTGACACAGTATCTGCAGAGAGTTGGCTACTACCTGCCACCTTGGCCAGTGCTAAATACTCTAATTTAAGTAACCCCTTAGATTCAGGAAGGAACTGCATCTCTACAGGACAGATTGAATCCCTTTCTGTCTGGGCCCTTTCCTTGGGAAAGATGCTGTAGTGACAGCTAAGCTGATGAGATTTCCCTGCTCTCTCTGCAACAATGCCCCCCCCTCCTTCTCACATCCAAATTTTAAGGTACACTATCCCTTTAGGCAGAGGGTAATTTCATATTGCCATCCATAACATACGAGTTCAGGGTGAACTCATAGCTCTTCTCATGGCAGTGTTGGGAGTACTACGCTGAGACATATGCTTGTATCCCTTAGGACTGAAGGCTGCTGCTTCCAAAGGCACTTAGACTATGCTCTTGATCTGGATTATTGGTGTTTGCCAGTTCAGGTTGCTTCTTTTTTTGTAGATTTCATTTATTATTATTAATGTGCATGAGAGAAGGAGTGTTGAGAGGGGTTATGTGAGAGGGGGCACACCACAGCATGCGTGTAGAGGTCAGAGGACAACTCTGTGTAGTCAGTTCTCTCTATCCGCCTCTATGTGGGTTCTGGAGATTAAACTCCAGACTTTTGTGGCAAGAGCCTTTATCCACTGATCCATCTCTCCAGCCCAGTTCAAACTCTACCTACTCATAACATTTGTGGTCTTACAGAACCTCCTCAAAAGCCACATGAAAATATACAATTCTTCTTCATCTCTATCTCCTATAACAGCTGTTTCAGATGCATTTTTAAAGCTCTGTACTGAGTTAAAGATAAAATTAAAACCAAAGCCATTTCATCATTGCAGTAGGGGAGAGCATCTAAATTCATACTTTTGACCTCTCTGAACTCCAATCCCTTGTGCATTTCTGATGCTCCTGCCTAGAATTCCCTAGAGTTTCATGGAATAGAGTTTGACAACAATTGTTCCAAAGTACATACTGATTTTCTTGTTTTGGTTGTTTTATATTAGCTATTGGCATGACATTATCTCTTTAACTGTAAAGGAAGGCCTATCTCTTTGTAACAACTGTCTCTTCCAAAGTGGCTAGTTAAGGATAATCATTCTCTGTACTGCCCTTGCGACCTACCCACTGGCCTCCTGCATGACAATTTTTACCTCTCTGTCCTAAACTATCACAAGTATAGGGACAGCTCAAAGGTTACTATAAAGTGATGATTCAATCATCCCTCCAGTTTCCCAGGCTACATACCGACCCATCTTGTTGGCCAACACACCAAAAAGGTTCGTGCCAATGAGGTAGGCCACACTGGCGGGCAAGAAAGACAGACCTGTGGAAGGACACAGAAGCTCACCTTAGGAGGTACTCAACTTAATCTAAAGCACCTTATTCCGTACAGTTCAGTATAGTGCTTCTCATAGCCCCAGGTCTCCAAACCACTTTGTTATATATTTTAGAGATCTTTGTGCAACTCACGAGCAGCAGTGTCAGGACCCCACTTCCCTGCTTTCCTCAATAACAAGGCTTTCTTTAGCCTTATTATATTTAATATGCTCTCAGCTCCCACTTGGACTTTCAGACAAGTGACTCGGTAAGCCATTGACATGTAAAAGATTCACTTGGTTATCAGCACAAGAGTATGGGCTTCCTGGGTAGTCAAATTCTAACTTGCTTATGACCTGTCCTCTTGTTTGCTTGCCCATGGTCCTAGATAAGCCTTTCTGAGCCTTGATTCCCATATCTTTCCAGGGAACAGTGGGCCATAAGTTGGACAGAGATTGTGAAGGCTTTTCATTAACTACTGTCCTGGCCCCACACCTTTGTGACAACAGATTGAGATGATCTGGAACATGGATGTTGGGTCATACAGTTTGGGTTCAGTATATACTTGGACACTTGTGAACTATGTGACCTTAGACATTTTACTTTTTATTTATGAGTTTTTCCTTCCTCACCCTCCCATCTTTTTTCTTTTTTCTTGTTTTCTTTCTGATGAGCTTTTACCATATGCCAGCTATTCTTAAGGCCAGTAATTGAGCAGTAAATAAGATAAACACAGAAAGGCCAGAGAGATGGCTCAGTGGTTAAGAGCCCAGCTGTCCTTCCAGAGGACCCAGGTTTGAGTCCCAGCACTGACATGTCTGTAACTCCAGTTTCTTGGGCACTAGGTATGCATATGGTGCCTAAAACATACATATGGGCAAAACACCCATACACATGAAATATAAAGTAAAATATTTTTGAAGGTAAACATAGAAGCAAACACAGTGCAAGTCTGTAATCCTAGTACTATGGAGGCTGCGGGAGCCACAAAGAAAATGTAGTCATCTCTTTCAAAGCATTAAATGAGATAGCACAGCATTATCTTAATAGAAAATTGTAAGGAAGAAACATACAAGATGCAAAAATTGGCATTTTCCCTAAAATTAAAACATATGCACAAATGTTTTATGTTGCTCATCAATTGTACCAGTGTCCACTAGCCAATCGGGTAAGAATTCAAAGCCAAATTCTAAACACTCAGAGTGAGGCACAGGATGCCTATTGGAGTGCTTGTTGCTTAAGCACAGTTAGCAGATAAGCACTCATCTCCCTTTTTGTGTTGCAGAAGTACTTTGGATTTTTGTGGACATGTTCTTGAGAGCTTTTCTACTAGGCTGAGTAAATTCAAGGTCTACATACCAAAACACTATCTTTTTTTTATTTTTTATTTTTTATTTTTTCTCAAATCATAATTAATTCACACAAGGGTATAAACACAGAAAGGCAGGACTTGGGGAAGGGAATGACACTGGAGTGCGGGCTCAGGGGGAATACAGATATCTTCAGAACCGGGTATAGGCTGGGTGAAGGTTCAGGGGACAAGTCACCATGACTCTGCCTATGACTCTCTTGTCCCCATCTAAGCTGGTATTATCTGCCAAGGCTACCTATTTACAAGGTCCATGACCACTCAGGCTTATAAATTTCCACAAAAGCTGCCCGTTGACATTAGCTTATAGCCATCTGTTTCAATGTTCTTCCACTGAGACCCAAGACTTGGTGTTAGTATACATGTATGACAGGCCCACTGCTGATTTTAGGCCTATGGCTGATTTTAGGCCTACAGTGTGTAAGCAGGGCTGCCCCTGACATCTCCTCCCTTCTCTAAGTATAGAAGGGCTGTGGCAATTCTAAACTTGCAAAGGCGGGGATAGAGGCCTGACCTCCAGTATTTGAAGGGGACCTTGTAATGGCTCCAGTCCCCCTGTCGTTGTCCAGTGAGGCATGAGGGCCATACCCGTCCCGATGCCAAGACACTATCTTAAAATAATACAAGTACAAGAAAATAAACACAAAAGATGATTATAACTCAAACAGAACTCACATTCAAGGAGAGATAGACAATAAAAATAAATGCTAAAGATTAAGTGAAGAAAATACTCTTGAAAACTGTGACAAAAATTTCATGTATCCAAATGTCAGAGTGACTGGAAGGCTACTGTACATTTGGGAAGCCAAGGAAAGACTGAGGGGGTAGTGTTTAAGCTGAAACAACAAGGTAAACAAGTACCAAAAACAAAAACAAAAACAAAAAACAGAAACGCGCACAGCTCCAAACACAAGCTGAAAGGCTTAAAGAAGACACCACTTAGGCTGATACAGGAGCACGAAGGACGCATGAGTGGCTAAAACGTGTGAGCAGAGAGAACATGAGAAGCTACAGAGATGAACAGCACAGCCCAACTGTGTATTCTAAAGTCTCTTAGAAGAATGGCTTCACGGGATAATAGACGGTTGCAAGCCCAGGAGAAAAGTTAGAGTCTCTGCTTGGAAGCCATTACCAAAAAGGGTGAACAAACTTGGAGATATTTTTAAGGTGGAGTTGTAGAACTTTCTCTCATGTTGTATAGGGACACCATGGGAGTGAGGGGATAGAAATAATGAGAACTAAAGCTTTTTATTTCAGTCAACTGAAATATGAGAACTGGGAAAGATGGGAAAGATCAATGAGGAGGAAAAGTCAGGGGGTCCACGAAGGGCTTGAAACAACCACATCCAGAGGTCAGACAGGCAGATACACAAGGGTGGAGCTCTAAGGAGAGGGCCTAAACACAGAGTTTCTAAGATGATGGAAATGAGGATTGACGAGCTAGCTCAGTAGTTGGGAGAGCTTACTGCTCTTGCAAGCATCTACATTCCGCTTCTAACAACCACAATGAATGGCTCACAATTGTCTACAGCTCCGGCTCCAGAGGGATCTGACCTCCAGCCTCTGCAAGTACCTGCAGACACATGCACATAACCCTGCCACAAATGTAAATGGTTGGGCTGTGACCGCCATGCTCAAAGATTCATGTGCCGGACTTGGTCCGCAGCACGATGTTGTGGGTGTAGAAGAGACCTTTAAAAGAAAGGCCTGTGATGCAGGTGTAGCTCAGTTAGTAGAATGTCTGCCTAGCACACACAAGAGGCCCTGGGTTCTAGCCCCAGCATCATATAATCTGGACATGGTCACACACACCTGTAATCCCAGCATTCTGGAGGCAGAGGCAGAAGTTCATTCTCAGCCTCAGCGACACAGTGACTCTGAAGCCAGACTGGGCTACATGAGACTCTGCTGGAGGTTGGGGCAGGTCTCTTGACCATTGGAAGGGTTTGCTTGGGGACATACTGAGGTGGCTCCCATTGGCCCTAAGAACTGTTCTGAGAGTGAGTTGCTATGAAGATGGGATTGGACCCCGAACGGTACATGCTATGACCATCCACCAGAGTTCTTTAGAACCAGCCCTATGTTATTTGGACCAATCAGCGCCCAAACTGCGTAAGTTTATACAGTTAGCCTGCCTTAGGTATTTTGTTATAAAAATAAAGTCAGCTAACAGAGGGAGATGATGGTTGTAAGTCACCAAGAGTATCCCGCTTAGGCTCAGCCCTTGTTATAAAAGTTTCTTTTTGTAGCAGATAGAGGCTGTTACAAAGAGCCACTGGTCAAAACAGAGAGGAAGTGACCAAAGTGCCCTTTGCTGAACAGCAAAGTAACACAACACTACTCCCAGAGCTCAGGGGACACTGTGAGGATCATAAGGAGCCTAAAGACAAGGAGACGGTCACTAACGTGCACTCTGGACGTGAGGGGAAGCTGCACCCATGAAATCTCAATAATATGGTTATCTGCAGAAGACCACGTCAGTCAGCGTTCCAACGTACATGCGGGAGTGGCTCACAGGCTCCACCCACACCCTCACACCCAGTTGAAGAGCTACTGGTGTCAGAAGGAAGGAGAATCGATTTTCTTCAGGGATCACCCATTTTTTTTTTAAAGTTTCCATGCCCAAGTAGTCTGTCTGACACCTTGTGACATGTGGACAACACTATTAGACTCAGTAGGACACACACACACATAAACACACAAAACAATAATAATTAAAGATAAGGCCATCAATTTAGAGAGAGGATGGGGCAATGTAGGAAGAGTTGGAGAGGGAGTGGAGATGGCTATAGTAAAAATACATTTGCACTTATATAGTTATTAGAATTAAAATGTTCATAGAAAACAAAAACTAATAAAACATAAAAAAATAAGAACACCCTACTTATTGAGCATTTTACACTGGCTGGGCACAGATGACGTGCCCTGTAAGCATTTGCCTTTATTATTATCATGCCCTATGATGGTCAGGGCGAACTCAGGCATCTCACTCCAAGGCCAGATAGTCCCCCTACCCAAGCCCACCAGAGTGGCTGGCTCTACCTGAGGGCCTGCTTGGAAGCAACATTGTGAGTTTCTCTGGGTAGCCCTTCCCTGTACCACTTTGGACCTTGCAGAAACAATGTAGCCCAATAGAAAGTATCATTGCTCGGATTCTAAGCCCAAAGTAAACAGTTGGCCAGGGTCTGGCCAGTGGCTTGTTTGCTTTTAATATTGTCTTCCATGCAGCAGAAGAGAAACATGTCTTCCTGTGTTTGTCTACTTTATCTGTCCAGGGTGGCAATCTGTTTCAAACTGTACTCTTTCATTTGTGTATAACTGCTTTTGAATGTTTAGAGGTAATAACTACTGAATGGTTTAGCTGATACACAGAAAGAGGAAGCTCACTGGCCTAGCTACCCGTCTCCTTGACATCCTTGTAAACTGTGTGAAATTTCCTAAATGAGGCTTTCCGCAAACATACACTTGTTCCATAGCAGCTGACCGGAGCGTGTCTTTCAGCAGTACTTTGTGTTCTATGCTCACCAGCGTCCACATACTTCTCACAGCCCGGCTTCAGGGGTGGATCACACATAACCCTAACTGTCAGGACACATTAATTATCACTTCAGTAAATCCTATAATCCATGCTCTGCAGTAACCTCCCTGAAATAAGTACAAAGACCAAAACAGCGCTAAAAGATATCTTCATTTTTATGAATGGAGAAGGAAAGCCAGGTGTGGTCACGCACACCTATAATCCCAGCACTCGAGGAGTTGACAAAAAGGATTTTGAAGTCAAGACCAGTCTAACCAATGCAATGAGAACTTGTCCAAACAAATATAAGAAAAGAAAAACTATGGTTCTCCAACACGACAATTACTGGACAATGACTGGGCATAAATTCAAACTGGGGTGCATCTGTCTCCAAAGCGAGTGCTGTACTCTGTGCTCGATAGCAGAACCCAGGATCCATTGGTCAGGTGGCACATGCTCCAACTCAGACCACACATCACTCTCAAGAGTTTGCTGTTTTTTTTTTTAACCTGTGCTCCTTCCTACAATCTGGAGAAGTGTTTTTCATGGCCAGTACTTTTCCAAGGGTGATTGGTGATGGATATGGGATATACCCTTGTCCCCTGGAAACTCATTAGAAACATCACTTGTTCCACGGGATGTATGCGTACATGCCTTGAAGCCTAAGGTCCTAGCATTTGGGAGATGAAAGCAAGAAGATGAGGGGTTCAAGGCTAGGCTCGTCTACATATTCAGGCCAAGGACAGACCAGGCTACATGATCCAGTTTCAAAAGAAAATCAAAACAAAATAAAAAAGCAAGATTAAAGAAGGAGGTAGTGTAACGCAGGCTGGCCTTGAAGTAGTGGTCCTCCTGCCTCTGCTTCTTTCAGCAAATCTTACCGACATATGCCAACAACCAGGAGCAGGGATGTCTCTGACTCTTTTGTCTGCTCCAGGGACCCCTTTCCTCCTACCGGGTTAGCCCACCCTGCCTTGATATGAGGGTTTGTGCCTAGTCTAATAAGAGTCTAATAACAAGTTACAATAGTTACAAGTTACGATAGTAACTTGTTATTCAGTGTTCAGTGGACACCCCTGGGAGACCTGTTCTGAAGGGAAATGGAGGAGTGGATCTGGGGGGAAGGGGAAGTATGGGGGGCAACTAGGAGGTGTAAAGGGGGGAACTGTACTTGGAATGCATTGAACACAAAAAATATATTGAAGAAAGGAAGGAAGGAGGGAGGGAAGGAGTGGGGTGGACCTAACCTGTTTTTGCTAACTTGCTGAGAAGTCCCAGTATCACAAGTTCTCTAAGCGTATGGCATCATCATTGGAGAATTATATTAGAATGTGTAGAGTGTAGAGGTGCAGGCAGTGCTGAGGAATATGATGTAAGATGCTGGGATACGGTAACCAACTGACTTGCATGCAATGGTAAGTGAGGCTGCTAACTGGATTGCTGGGATAGGGCTGCTCCAGGCTGTAGTGTACTCACTGGTACGAGAAGGCAGAGTGGCCAGAACCTCCTCAGAAGAGATATTATCTGCACTGAGAATTGCCTAACTCAATTAATTGTCTTGGTCAGAGGCAATTACAGCCCAAGAAATTCAATTTGAGTTAAGTGTACAGCTGGAGCCCTGCTTAGAACTGGTCCCTTAAAATTAGATTCTGTGTTTCTTATGGTACATTGAGCTATATCCGGTTCTTATCAGCTTCCTCTCTGGCACCACATGAGTCTCCTGCCTTGTAATGACTGAATCATTTGCACGTAGCCTCTCCTGCCCCCATTGTCCTCAGGTTTCCTGGAAGAGGCCCAGGTCTTTTCTCTAAGCTCACTCAAAGTCACACATGGAGGCTCCCAGCCTACATAGAGCAGAAGAGGCTGGGGTCCTCTATTTTGGACCTGAATGGAGGGTGAGCACCCTTTATAGAGTGTGTAAGACAATAAGGGGGGTGCTGTAGTGAGAGTGTGGCTGGTTCTTATCCTGCAGAGTATACAGGCACAGAGTACCTTAGGCCATTCATTCCTGCAATAGTTCTTTGAAGTAGCTTTTGGAGACCTTTCAAAGCATTTCCATGTTCATTTTAGATAGAAGTCAAGTGGTGCTCAACAATGAAACCAGATTACTTCAAAACAGTGTGGTACAAAGTCATGGGGAAACTTCCCTAGGCACTGAGGCTTAGGGTTTCTATCTCAGGGCTTACTAGAGAAGAGAACAGGCTGGGGATGTAGCCTGGTGATAGAACATTTGCCCAGTTTGCACAAGGGTCCTGGAATTTACCCCTAGAAATAGAGAAAGAAAGAGAGAAAGAAAGAAAGAAAGAAAGAAAGAAAGAAAGAAAGAAAGAAAGAAAGAAAGAAAGAAAGGAAGAAAGGAAGAAAGAAAGAAAGAACATCATGTGCTCAGTTGTCGGTTAAGTGGAGCTGATATTCTCAGGCTCATCGGCCTCATTGCCTGAGACAAGAACATAAATTTTTAGTTTCTCGTTTTATATAAATAAGAGACTACCATTCTTCAAATGCAATGCTTCGAAAGCATGGCAGTTAATCACAGCAATTATTGGATCTAGACTCACTTAGGAGACACACCTCTGGGCAATCGATCTGTGAGGCCATTTGTAGAGTGGTTTAAATAAAGGGAAGACCCATACTAAATTGTGGGCAGTACCATGGCTTGGACTGGGGCTTTAGACAAAATAAAAAGGAATTTAAAAGAGAATTCAAAATGAGTGCAGGAATCTCCTGCTCTGTGCTTCATGGGCTCTCCAAAACTGAGGTGTTCCAGTGGCTGTAAGCCTTCCCCATTACGATAGGCTATTTCCTCTCAAACCATGAGTAAAAGAAGTCCATCCTTTGCTATGTTTCTTTTGTTGAATATTTAGTCACAAGCGTGAGAAAAGTAATACAGAAAGATTATGTTATTTGCAGAAATTTATATTGCCAGTCAATGCTAGAAAAACGAAACAAGAAAAAGGCCTTCGGCTGGAAATGCTGAATTGTTTCACACCAGTACTAGATCTGCTGCGTCTCCACTGCCCACCATCATTTACAAGGTGATCTGGACTCAGTTCATGGATGTGGGTATAGGGATGAGCCTATGAAGGGAGAGTACAGCCTCTGAGAGGTTGATGACCTGGACCTAATGGTTGTTGATTACTTTCAAAAAGGCCCACAGCACCTGCCTGGTGGTATCTGAGCTTTGCTGGGGACTCAGCTCACTTACCTAGCTGCCACTCAGGGGAACACATGGTCTGCATCATCCAGATGGGTAGTGTGGGCTCTAGTATGGCGACTCCCATGTTGGCCAGGCAGATGGAACCTGAGAGACAGTTCTGTGAGCCAGTATGGCTACCTGAAGCCTGACTCCCACAGAGAGGGAGTGCATGGCCAGCTTACCTGCTGCTACCAGGATGTAAGGGTCTTTGAGAAGCATCAAAAGTGGAGTCCCCATGGCGCTCTGAGAAAATGAATAACATGAACCCTTATTTTTAGAGTTTAGAACACTCCTGTTTTCACAAGATCTGAGATGGGACCTTAAACATTATTGGCTCCTTTGCTGTAGAGACCAGGAAACTCAGGTCTAGGGAAAGAAAGTGACCTGTCTAGTGTCTCCGCTAGAGCCAGAGCCTGTTTTGTGTACAAGTCCTGAGGCCATGAGAGTAGCATACCTTGTATTGGATCTAATTCCCACAGTGAGTGGAAGCAAGGCCAGGATGGTCAGTAGGTGTCCAGGGCCTTTCACCACATCTCTCAGGAAATATCATATGCCCGAACAGGCAGAGTACTTAACCTCAAGCTAAGTGTGGAAGTACAACAGAAGAAAGCTCCTCAAATGAGGATCTGGGGAAACTGAACACACAGGTTAAAATGCTGTCCTAGTGACCAATCTTGATTGCTCCTCTCTCAGGACATTACCCTTATACCAGCTACACCTGGGCAAGCCATCATCCTTTTGTTACCTGTACCCAAATTAGCATCCTTCTCATCTCCAGAGTTCTCCATCTTACCTGTTCTTCAAGATCAAGTTCAAATTCCACCTTTCCCACAGCATTTCCTGACTCAGTAGTTGGAGCCAAAGAGTATTTCCTCATCTCTGGTGTGCAGTATACTCTATCACATTTAATAGTCTGGATACGATAACCGCACATGACAAGCAAACAATAATAGACACATATAAAGGTGCCAAAGCCAAACTTATGATACTCTTACTATATATGTAAATCAAAGTAAAGAAATCGGTATAAATGGTAAACATACACACAAAGAAGTATGCAAGCATCATGTTACAGGTGTGGAATGGTTATTGCTACAGCTGAAGGAAGAGCTCAGTGAGTGTGTTTGTCTAGGCTGTGTTTAGTCCCCATTACAGACCCTGTGTTTAGTCCCCATTACAGTATTCCTGAGGCAGGGAGAGAGACCGAGGGACACAGAGAGAGAAGAAGACCACTTCCAACATTATAGAGCGCATGTCCGTGCTGTTGTTAACTGAAGTGCTTTGTGATGTCAACACAGAAAACCACCTAAAGGCACAGACAGGAAGCAGAATGAAACACGATCTGCCAGTCACGTGGCCCATACAACTGAAAAACAGCAAGGTGGGTTATTTTTTCAGGATATATTATTAACCGAGGAAAAAAGGAGAATGTAAAGAAGCATATGAGTATGATGCCTCTTGTGGAAGAAACGGAGGGCAGGAAGAAAACATTCATAAGTCATTTGGGGAAAAACATAAAGGGAAGAATTAAAGTGTCCACTTGCAAGAGATATAGGTGAGGGAAAGAAAGGGAAAGTGGCAACAAAGAGATTAATATCCTTTGAATACATCCCCCAAATACTATACTAATGCTGTGAAGTGACTGTGTCCCCACCAATTAAAACAATGAAGTCCTAACCCCTAACGCACCATTTCAATGTGGAATTTAAAGGAAAGCATTATAGCGAAGGAGATTGTAAGGACGGAGCTTTGAGCGGAGAGGACTAGTGTTCTAACTGGAAGAGAAAATGACTCATCCCTGGGCACACCCATCAAGGAAAATGTGATGATCAGTTTCAATTGTTGCTTTGCCACAATCTAAGCGAGACTCTCAATGATGGATTGTCTAGATCAGGTGAGCTTATGGTCACATCTGTGGGGAGTGTTTTGACTGCCCTAATGGATATGGAACTATCCAGCCTGTAAGTTGGTGGCACCACTGCCTGGTTTTGGGTCCTGAATTGTAAACCAGAGAATGTGGCATGCATGCATTTATTCTGTCTGCCCTTGACTGTGGGGGATGATGTAACTATCTGCTTCAAGTTCCTGCCCTGACTTCACCACAATGATAGACTGTAGTCTGAAATTATAAGTCAAATAAGTCCTTTCTCTCCTCATTTGCTTGTATCAGTGTATTTTATCACAGCAACAGAAATAAACTGGAACAGAAAAACACTGGAGGAGGGGCCCACTGGGACAAGTTGACCAATCATACATCAGGAAGAGAGGTCTCAGAGAAGCCAATGCTGACAACCCTGAGGGATAGAAGTTAAGTCACCAGTCTGTACTGGGGCCCAGTACCCTAGTGCACTAAGCAAGAATGGAGTAAAGAATGACAAAAAAACAAAACAAACAAGACTCAAGATCAACAAAAGAACATGACTGGGTTTTAAATGCATTATATATAATAGCCACAATAAAAGGGACAATTAAAAATCAATGTAAGTATTTTTTAAGCAGAGTATGAAGGCCGAAGGCTGTATGTCTCATAGGAACTACAAAAATCTAACAAAGGTGTGTGTGTATTTACACATGTATGTATATATGTGAGTGTGTGAAGAGGGTATGGACATAGATTATACACATCGTAGGACTGCATAAATATGTAAATACAATTTTTTGAATATTCTCGCTCTAAATGTGTAGAGAGGCGATATCGATTGAGCAAACCAATTGCAAGTGCTGTGGGGTGATCTGGACGTGGCAGTCTTGGTGCCAGCTAGCCTGTGTATACTATCTCTACCGTGGAAACAGGCATTGCACTGCGTCGCTGTATCCATGGAAACTTACACTGCAGTGTAAGGAGACAAGGTGGAGTATGGGATCTCTCAAGGCTTCATGTGTGGTAACCAAGCATTCTACCAACTGAGCTACATCCAGCCTTCAAGTTTTAAAAAACTATTTATACATACTCTACTTCCCTATTGTCATGAGCTAGTCCCTTTGTTGAGTATTCAGTGGGACTGCCATACCAGACATTTAGTAAAATAAAGGTAGAACTATCCAGTTGAATATTCCAGGCCTGGGCAGGTAGTTGCCCAAATGGTACTGGGACCAAACATCTTCCATGCCTCAGAGTCTTCAAGCAGGCTTTTGGTGCTTTTCTCTGAGGACTTTTGGGCGGTTGGGTGGGTGGGTGGTTCCTCCTACTCCTAGCCACCTTGGCAGCAGACTGCAAGAGGCGTCTCTCACTGAGGGGAAGCGGCACGCTTAGAGCAGCAGTTGTATCACAGTCCCTATTTCTTTCAGGAGCTCTCTACATCTGTAAAGTGAAACTGAAATAATCATTCCCTGGAATTGATAAGACAAACCACAGATGGTATGCTAGACAGAACTCCTGAGACATAAAATGCCAAGGACTTTATATGTGATTTTAATTACTTTTCAAATACCTTGATCTACTAAGCCTTTGAGTCAAACTTTCCCACCATACACGTCACCATTTTTCCTTCCAGTTTTTTTTTTTTTTTGCATTATTTCTTCATACTGTCTTTTATGTATTTTTTTGTTTGAGATAGGTTTTCTCTGTATATCAGAGCCCTGGCTATCCTAGAACTTGCTCTTAGACCAGGCTGGCCTTGAACTCACAGAGATCCACCTACCCCTGCTGCCAAGTGCTGGGGTTAATGCCATGAGCCACCACTGCCTGGCTTTGTGGTGTTTTCTTTAACAAAGGATACCTATTTTCATTTCGCTCACTCTACCTCCTTCGTTCTTGCAATCTTCCTTGGATAATTCGTTTTTTACTTCTACTGCACAGATATTGTCACATGACCATGTACACATGCATGGATGGCTTTCTTCCCCATCATATTTTCTAAAGTTTTCCTATATTTGTTAATTAATTTCATAACTAGTATTCAAGTTGTGGTTGATATACTAACAAGTGCTTAACTCTCCTGCCCATTACTAGAGAGATTTTTTTTTTATCAGCATTTCATTCCTCAGTATAATACTGCCATATACACATTTGTTTTGTTCAGGAAATTTCACTGTATACCCTAGACTGCCTCAAACCCATAACCTTCCTGCCCTAGCTTCTTTAGTGCTGAGTTACAGTGACCTATCACACTCATTCTGCTATCTTTATTGAAACAGAACCTCTAAAATGATTTTCATAAAAAATTCCCTCATGTTAGGAATAATGACAAGAAACTGATCTTTTCTATAGCCCATAATAAATAGTGTATATGCATGTTCTGAATTTTGAAACTTTCCATTTCAAAACTTATTTTTAAAATTATTATAATGATATCTGGAGACAAAGCTCAGAGATTAAGAGCACTTATTGCTCTTTTGGAGGACATGGGTTCAATTCCCAGCACAACATGGTGACTTACAACCATCTGTAACTCCAGTTCAAAGGATCCAGTTCCCTCTGCTGGCTTCCACAGGCATCAGGCACACACACACACACACACACACACACACACACACACACAGAGAGAGAGAGAGAGAGAGAGAACATACATACATGTAAAGTGAAATAAATCTAAATAAAATTATAATAGAATAAAATCTATTAAATGTTTTATAAGAATTAAAAATGTAATATTAATGCACTCTGTATACTTTTAAATAAAAAAAATGGTACACTCTTCTTAAAACACTGGAGGAAAAACATCAAGTATGATGTAAAGGCTAATAAAGTAAGCATGATGGAACTATAAGCCTAGGCTGTAACATGCCACACATTACCCAGGCCTACCTTCGAAAATATTCTGCTAATAAATTAGCCCTCAACTTCTTTTTCTTTTTATCTATCTATCTATCTATCTATCTATCTATCTATCTATCTATCTATCTATCTATCTATCTTGGTTTTTGGAGACAGGGTTTCTCTGTGTAGCCCTCACTGTCCTGAAACTCACTCTGTAGACCAGGCTAACTTCAAACTCATAGTCACCTGCCTCAGCTTCCCAGGTGCAGAGGATTAAAGGCGTGCACCACCAGCACTCCACCAGCCCTCAATTTCTATTCAGAGTGTAAATCTTGGCGGAGGAGAAGGAGAAGAAGGAGGAGGAAGAGAAGGAGGAGGAGAAAAAGAAGACAATAAAGAAGAAAAAGAAGAAGGAGGAGGAAGAGTAGATGAAGAGGAGGAAGAAGAGGGGGAGGAGGAAGAAGAGGAGGAGGAAGAGGAGGAGGAGGAGGAGGAGGAAGAAGAAGAAGAAGAAGAAGAAGAAGAAGAAGAAGAAGAAGAAGA